GATTTGTCTGACCTCAGTTTGAAGAATGGAAAGGCTGGGATGGTTCTCTCCTGACCTAGTTTAAGAACCTCCCCTGCAGAGCTTCCAGGGACCCACACCTACTCTTGCCCTGGAATTGAACTGCAGTCCAATGTGAAGGTTCATGCCCCGTGAAGCAGCAACGGCCGCCAGATCCAGAGCGGCTGGGCTGGGCCGTCCAAGGACGGTTTTGCTCTGGCTGCTGTGAGAGAAAGTCACCACACCGGCTGAGTGGCATAGCTCAGCACTGTGGGAAACGGAGCCTCATCGTGCCTGGGCTTGATGCCCGGACCCGACTTTCCCAGCCCTGCCTTCCCCAGGGGCCAGGCGGAGAGATGCACGACCTGTTCACATGGCTTGGATGAGTGCTTAGGAAGGGGCTGAGCCACAGCCAGCCGCTGCGACCTCAGGACTTCTGGGGGTGGGTGGGCTGGTTGCTGGAGACGTAGGGGGAGTTCCTTCCTCCTGCCTCCCAAGCCAGCAGTAGAGGGCAGGGCCGGCTTTCCTCCCCAGAATGCTGGAGAATTCAGGGCCTGGTGTGGCTGCTGTTTGTGTTAAGCAGGGAGCCTTGGAAGATGGCTACTTCTTGCCAGCACAGGCCGCGTTGGGCCACTTACCCACTGAAAGCTGTTTCCCTCTGGGTGGCTCACAGTGACCTGCACAGTTTGGCGGCGGCGCTGTTCCCTGTGTTTTCCTCACTTTGAAAGAATTCAGTTTTTTCAAAGTGAGAAGTGTTACACTAAAAGCATACACGCTGGGAGCATGTTACTGTCAGCCGTGGCACTTGTTGGTGCTCCTAAATGTTCTGTACCATTTAGGAGAGATGTTGTGGGTGGCATCTGTGAGCATCCTGCTCGTGCAGCCTGGAGAGAAAGAATGAATGTTGTCTGCTGCAGAGACGAGGCAAACCTTTCCAGCACCTTGCCTTGGCCTCGGGGGAAGCTGATGCCCTCTGGGGTGCTTGGGACAAAGATCTGCAAGAACTCAGTAGTGGTCAGCAGTTAGCAGAATCCCAGGTGCCAAAAGAAGATGACTTGCCCCAAAGGCCTTTGGGCTCTGTCTGTCTGTCTGTCTGTCTGTCTGTCTGTCTGTCTCTCTGTGTCTCTCTCTCTCTCTCTCTCTCTCTCTCTCTCTCTCTCTCTCTCTCTCTCTCTCTCTCTCTCTCTCTCTCTCTCTCTCTGGCACTGATTTTTCTTCCATTTCCTTTGCTGCCCCTCTGCCCACAGGCAACCCTGCTCATGTGCCATCTCCCTCTGCCCCATCCCCATTCTAAAGCCTGAAAGCCTTAAGAAAAGGCTGTGCCCCTAAAACTGCCCGTCTGTCTTTCCCCTTGGCAGGAGTTTGCAAGTGTATGAAGAAACAGGCTTCACCCACAGCGAGTTGCTGCAGAAGCAGCAGGAGGAGGAAGGCGGGGGCCCGTTGGGGGGGCCCTTGAAGTACCCCAACCCATGCATCTTATGGCTGTATGCAGAACAGGCAGGTAAAAATGAGGGAGGGGTGGAAACGGCTACCCTAGCCCCCAGTCCTCCTCCTGGGTGCCTCCACTACCTACATAAATCCCCCCAGCCCCCTTGAAAAACAGTCCTTTTCCTGGCTGTGGTGTTGGGTCCCTTTTGTCTTTTTTTTACATTTGTAATATCCACTAAACTGGCAGTTTAGACTAGCTGGAGCTCACCAGAGCTTGGAAGCTAAGCATGGTCGGTCATGGTTAGTACTTGGGTAGGAGACCATCAAGAAAGAGGAAAGCTAGCCCTGACCTGGATAGCCCAGGCAAGCCCAATCTCGTCAGATCTCTTCCCCTTCTTTGTGGCGGGTTCTGACAGCCCCACACAAAGCCTGGCCTGCCTGGGGGCTCCAGAAGCACCAGGGCCCTGCCTCCCACTGGCACAAGCATGGCAGCGGTTCCTGTTTGCTCCGATTGCTCATCTGCACCTTTCTGGCCACCTTCTCAACCTTCTCTGGCTTCCCTCAGTGCTGGACAAGAGGCTTGACGCCCGTGTGGATGCTATGCTGGCTGCTGGGCTGCTGGAGGAACTGCGAGACTTTCACCGGCGATACAATGAGGAGAAGGTGGCAGAAAGCTGGTGAGTGACCCCCCCCCTCCCTCCGCCATGGCCTGGCTGAAGGGGCCTCCCTAGAGATGGAAGTGAAACTGTGAGTCTGCAGATGGCTTTGGAAAGCAGAGGGGCTTCCTGTTGAATGGAGGCTCCCTACACAAGAGAGACTCAACAAGGGGGGGCTGTGGTTCAGTAGGAAGAGCCTCTGCTTTGCATGCAGAAGGTCCCAAGTTCAATCCCTCACCTCTCCAGTTAAAAAGGAGCAGGCAATAGATGATGTGAAAGACCTCCACCTGAGACCCTGGAGAGCTGCTGCCAGTCTGAGCAGACAGTTCTGCCCTTGAGGGTCTGATTCAGCATAAGGCAGCTTCATGCATATAACGGAGCGTTGCTTGCTCTGGCACTGCACCCAACCACAACTGCCCTCCTCTGCTACCCAGGGAGGTATTCCCCTTTGCCTCTCCCCATCTTAGGGGTGTACTTATAGAATCATAGAGTTGGAAGGGACCTCCAAGGTCATCTAGTCCCACCCCCCTCCACAGTGCAGGAAATTCACAACTACCTCCCACCCAACACCCCAGTGACCCCTGCTCCATGTCCAGAAGATGGCAGAAACTTCTCGCTCCTTTGCCTCTACTCTGCAGAAGTTAAGCTTCTCCTGGTGTGTAGGTGGAAAGCTGGGAGAAGCCTCGCCCGCTTAGTTTTTGTGTCTCAGAGGATGCTGCTACAGGAGCAGGGAACAAAAAAAACCCCGAGGACACCCTAGTCTCCCATCCCCTCAAAACGTCCCTCCCGGCATTGTCAGCCCAGTGGAAGCTGTCAGAGCAAGCCGCTGGGACCAAAAAACGTGGCTGTAGTGGGGGTGGCAGAGAGTGCCAAGCTGCTGCCTGCCCATGGGCCTTTTCCTTCTCTACTGAACTATTATTTCTGAAACGTGCCCCATTTTCCTGGCGGGTCTGGCTCTGTGGATGGATGTGTGTTTGCACACTGGCAGGTACCTTGACCGGCCTGATTTGTTGCTGTTCTTCTCCTTCCTCAGCCAGGATTACCAGCATGGTATATTCCAGACCATCGGTTTCAAGGAATTTCATGAATTCCTGATTGAGGAGGGCAAGTGTCCAGTGGAGCAGAGCAAGCAGCTCTTAAACAAAGGTAAGAGTTGGCTTGGGGGGCAGACGAGGGCAGCTCTCAGCATTTGTATTTGATAGCCAGAGGGGAAACGAGTGGGATTTGTAGCACAAAATCCCCCAGAAGTTTCACAGAAGCAGTGGGATTCTTTGAGGGAGGCCCTGCTGGCACAACGAGCCACCAGGAAATGGCAGGGTAAATTCTGCTTCTGCAGCATCTTTGCTGAGGGTACTTCACTGGCAGACGCCTCCTTCAAAGCCTTCCTCAGAACGAACACCAGCATCTCCCTCCAGTTCCGGCCCTCGTGACATATACCCAGGGCCTTTTCCTGCTTCAGTGTTGGCATCCTGTGATTCAAGATGCTCCCTGGGTTCACTGCTCACATCTGCTGTTCTCCCCTCTACCCTTCTCCGCTATTTCAGGAATTGAGGCCCTGAAGTTGGTGACCAGGCGTTATGCTCGCCAGCAGAACAAATGGGTCAAGAACCGCTTCTTAAGACGTAAGTCCCTCTTCCCTGCCTCTGCATCCCTTTGCCAGAGAGAGGAGTGGGGAAGCACTTTTCTCTCCCCACCTCTCTCCCCGTTCTCTTTGCTCGCTCTGCTTCCTCATCTCCTCTGTTTCTTCTCAACACAGTTCAAGCTGGAGCGCACCGGGACTTTGCTCCGGAACCAGCTTTCTGCCAGAGCTCACTTCTTGAAATGTGTACTATTAGTACTGATTGGACCCTGAGTCTGGATGGCCCAGGCTAGCCTGTTCTCCCTCTGAGGTGGAGGACATCTCCATGGGTTATTCCCACCGTGCCTTTATGGAAGGCAGGAAATAGTCTTTCCCCCTTCCTGTTGGCGCCTCCAGAATAGCCCATCTCCAGTTCTGTTCCTGCCTCTAGCTGAACCTTAAGAATTTTTTCTTAATTTCCTCTCCTTTCAAAGCCTTTGCCTTGCCTGTTCACCTTCCTTCTTCCTCTACTTCTCTTCTTCCTCCTTTCTTCTGCTCCGATCTCGGGGTGAAGACCCCAGGGGTCCGTTGACCTGAAGAGAAGATTCCCAGCTGCTATGGTGGCGAAAGAGCTTCCCGAGGTTTTTTCCTCGGGCGACATGGGAGAAGCGCATGCTGTGTCGGCGGCAGCGCGGGAAGACCTTGGGGCCGATCAGCTTTCGCAGTTTCATTGTGCGCCCCCAACAGCGGCTGCTGGAGCAGCGGCGCGAAGCGCCCAGAAGCACCGTCGGCAGCCAGAGGAGGATGACCCTGCCATTTTCCAGGCGCGCCTTCGGGCGGGCGGCAGCCATCTTGGGGGTCCGGCCTCGAGCCTCGGACCTCTTCCAGGGGCGATCCCGGGAGCCGCGGGGATTGAAGGAGGACGCCTCTCCACCTCCCCAGTACTGGTGCACCCGGACCAAGGCAGCGCTCAGATGGGTAAGCCCCCGGAACATGCGGTCCTGATTGATTCCTCTGAACTGATGGAGTTCATTAGGCAGTCTATCCATCAGGAAATGGCCAAGGTAAACACCAGACCTGAGTTGCCACTACAGCAGGAGGCCCATCACCCGAGTCCTCCAACGCCCTTCCCTTCTGGCTGGCCCACTAAGGCAGCAAAAAAGGCTCCCACTCCCCTCCCTAAGAGACCCACAGAGGAACAATGGGGGGAGGAGTTAGAATCTAATGCCTCTTCCACTGAGGACAGGGAAGAGGGTGAGTTTTTATCTGAGGATGAGACTGAGGAGCTAAAGCTACTTGAACAGTCCAGTAGATTTTTCAAACCTGAGGACTATCAATATCTCCTAACTAAGGCGGTTAAGGTCCTAGAGCTGCATGATGTACCTGCTTCTGAATATCAGAAGGCGGCCAGGGCTAAGCTTAAATCCAAATTGGGTGGCAACAGGGAATTCTTTCCTCCTGAGGAGTGCACGGAGAAGGTGTTTCCTTTTCCAGAGTACTTCGAACGCCAACTAAGATTCGGTTGGGACAAGCCTGTGGTTAACAAGCAGTTTCCCGCTTTCACTAAGAAATTGTATGCTATGCTGATGAGTTGTTGCAGGTTTCGCCTGTGGATGCTCCCGTGGCCGCACTCCAGACTGCGGGCTTAGTCTCCGAGGATGGACTAGGCAACCTCAGGGAAGCTATGGATAAGAAGCTTGAAGCAACTCTTCAAAGGATTCACGAGTCCATTGCCATGATGGTCAGAGCGGCGTCTACAGCCTCCATAGCTGCCAGGGCATCCATAGTCTGGTTGAGGAAATTTGTCCAGCTCAACAACCAGGCATTACTGGAAGGAATCCCCGCACTCTTAAGTCTGATTCCTTCATGGCTGACGCTACCTTGGACATTATTTCCTTTGCTTCTAGGGGCTTGGCTTCTACAGCTGTAGCCAGGAGAATGCTTTGGCTACGGGCTTGGCAGGCGGATACGCTTTCCAAATCCATTGTTTCCGCCTATCCCTTCCAGGGGGATCGTCTGTTTGGTAAAGCACTGGACAACATCCTGGTGGAAACCAGGGACAAGAAAAAAGCCATGCCTCGTTCTCTGAGACGCACGGACAGGCGCAACCCTCAGTCTTTTCGTTCCCATCATTCCCTGCTGCGGTTTCATCAGGACGTCAAGAAGCCTGCATGAGACTCAAACAAAGAGTCCAGCAAGCGTGGCTCATTCAACCCTCGATTCCATAGATCCCAGTTTAATAGGAATGATAGAGGCGACAGAGAGTCCAAAACCAAACAGAATTGACTATGCCAGGCTGCCGGTAGGGGCACGACTTCTTCACTTTGCCAGGACTTGGTCAGAGACACAGGCGGATGCCTGGGCAGTGGAAGTCGTGTCACAGGGATACTCAATAGAGTTTCTTCGTCAGCCTCCAGAAAGATTCCTGCAGTCGCCGGCAAGCAAATCTGCAAACAAGAGATCCATTGACAAGGCATACAACATCTTCTCAGCATCAGAGCCATCGAACCGGTTCCATATGGCAAGAGAGGCCGGGGAGTCTATTCTATATTGTTTATGGTTCCCAAAAAGAACGGAGACTGGAGGGTGATTCTGGATCTCAAGTTTTTAAACAAATTCATTCGCCTGCGCCATTTTCGCATGGAAACTCTGAGAGCAGTAGCGGATTCCTTTATCTCCCAATGAGTACCTGACGTCCATAGATCTTACAGAAGCGTATCTCCATGTGCCGATCCACTCTGCTCACAAGAGGTATCTCTGTTTTTGCATCTATGGTCAGCACTTCCAGTACAGAGCTCTCCTTCGGTCTTTCCCCAGCGCCCAGGCTGTTCACCAAACTGATCATCAATCCTGTGAGTCATCTCAGAAGTCAGGGGATTCATGTACATCCGTACTTGGACAATTTGTTGGCTGGAATTCATACAAAACACAGAAAAGACCCTACAGTGTCTGCGCAGTCACAGATTTTTAATCAATCTCGAGAAGAGCTCTCTAATTCCGTGTCAGCAAGTCGAACATACTGCTTCTCAGCCCAGGAGGACCAAAAAGCACTCTGTCCATGCTCTGATTCTGCAGGAGAAAGTGCAGGATGTGGCACTGGAACACAGGATTCAGCTTTGCCGGGCCCAAAATATCGCCGTGTTTTAGCGCAGAGGCTGCCTGGCCCTGGATACTGGGCTTGCTTGGCCTCCCAGGCCCAATTCCTGCTCTCATGTGGACCAGACAGCTCCCCTCTGTCATGGCTCCTGCCTTTCCCCCAAGCCGGAGCGAGCGGCCCAGCTGACAGCTGCCCTTCCAGATCCGATTGGCTCTCCCGTGACTCGCTGTGTTGGCTCTGGCTGGGAGCCAGCAGGACTTCCCTGGCTTACCCCAGGCTTGGAGCAGAGCCAGGGCTGGCAGCTGGGAGCCCAGCACTTGATGAAAGGTTCCTGGTGGGGTCAGGAGAAAGGCGGGAGAAGCCGTGCAGAAACTTGAGGAAGGAAGAGAGCAGCTTTCTTTTCGGAAGGCTCAGAGAGTCTTTTCGCAGGCCAGCTGTACGGCACCCCGTGCTCACCTTTCACTGAGCGGCCGACAGGTGCACCTTGGGTTGGGTTTTTGTGGTCCTGGTAATAATCGGCGTCACCTGCTCAGAGGTTGGCACCCAGCCTCTCTCAGGAGGCCCTTTGTCCCAACTGCTGTTGAACTTGGGCCAGGCAGCTGACAGGTGAGAGCAGCGTTTGGCACCGGGTAGCTGGAGGAAGATGCAAAGGAGCCGCCAGCTGGCTGCGTTCTTCGGGGCCTGGCGGGGCTGGGCCTTCTGGCTCTTGTGGACATGTCCTGTGGGCCCTGCCCTTTCTCCTACTCTGGCGTAGCCTCTGGCAAACTGATTCCAATCCTTGCTTTGGGGAAGACGGGGCTTAAACATTATCCAAGTGTCTAGATCTCAGTTTCGAGATCAATTCATAATCAGATGAAGCATTTTAAATGGAGAGTCTCGCATGTGCGATTCTGAGGTGGTCCTCTTTTGGGGGGAATAACCCCGTCTCCCTTGTGAGGAGGCTTTGCTGCTCTCTGGCCCCTACCTGCACTGAGATCTCCACCCATCCAAGTTAGCAAAGCAGCCATTGTTCATTTTTCCGAGGCTGAGTGAGTCTCAAGTGCATGGCCCAAGCTAGCTTGATCTCATCAGATCTCAGAAGCTAAGCAGGGTTGGCCCTGCTTAGTTCTCATAGGGGAGACGACCAAGGAAGTCCAGGGTGTGACGCCTCTCGAGCCCCCTCCCGGGGTCGTCACCGCCGGTCGCCGTATTGTTCTTGTACCCAGCTCCACGGGCTCCGGTTTACCCAGGTCGCTGAGGCCGCTCGTAAAGGGACTCAGTGGGGAAACGCTGTCCACGGCAGAGCTCACCTCAGATACGGACGCTGCAGAGGGTTGCTCCACCCTCTTTGTCCGCCTGGGTATCGGCTTTCACGGGCAGGGTGCTCAGTTTGTGTTTCCTTTTTCTCTCTGACGCTTCTTCGAACTGAATCACTCCCAAAGCCATCCCAGCGCCTCCTCATCGGATCGCTCTGGCGCTTCTTTTATTCCCCACTCGTCCCCCAGCGTTCTCAGCGATCTGGCCCCGCCCCCGCCCAAAGGTGGAGACGCCAAGGCGTCCGGCCCCACCCAACCCCGCCCAGGCCGTCCTGAGGCGTGCGGAGCGGCGTCCGCTGTGGGGTGTGTCTTCCGGCACCTCGATGCGGCCCTGGGCCGTTCCCGCGCCCGTCCGGGCTTTTCCGACCGGCGCGGCGGGTCGGCCAGCCTCCCGTTGCGGGCGTCTTCGGGGCGGTCGCCCGAGGTGCGTTGGCCCTCCTCCCGGGCCGCGGCTGCTTCTCGAGGGCCGGTGAGTGTTGCCAGCGCGTTAGTCGGGGTTGGGGGCCGCCGCCCGAGTTCCTCGCCGGTGGCTGTAGGCTGCAGGGGCGCGTGGCTTGCGGAGGAGGGCCGCCCTCCTCCCGGCGCGTCCGGGGGGGCTCCCGGCACGTCCCGGCCGCTACCGGGACACAGGGTTGCTATGCCGAAGCAGGCAATGGCAAACTACCCCAGTTTGGTGTAGTGGTTAGGAGCATGGACTCTAATCTGGGAGAACCAGTTTTGATTCCCCACTCCTCCACATGCAGCTGCTGGTGCAACCTTCGATCAGTCATAAGTTCTTTAAGAGCTGTTATTTCAAGGGCAGTTCTTGGGAGAGCTCTCTCAGCTCCACCTACCTCACAGGGTGTCTGTTGTGGGAAGGGGAGGGGAAGGGAAGGAGATTGCAAGCCGCTCTGAGACTCCTTCGGGTAGTGAAGGGCAGGGTATAATTCCAATCTCCTCCTCCTCCCTACAGGTTCACCATATGTTGGCTAAGACTTGATGGCACTTTCTACCACCACCTAGCTGAGTGAGGGGGCAGGTGAGCACCTCTGCTCTCCTCTTCCCAGGAATCTTCATTCTGTCAGCCTCTGCTTTGCTTCTCGAAAGTGTCCATAAATTGAATTGAGTCTCAGAAGAACAGCCTGTCTTGGAGTGACTCCTAATATCTATGCTGTGCTTTGCCCATGGAAGGATGCAGATTTTAGGATCCTGCTGACCTCCAGTGTTTCCTTCTCTGTCCAGGCCCTGGACCCAACGCCCCCCTTGTATATGGCTTGGAAGTCACTGATCTCTCTCGGTGGGAGGAGAAAGTGCTGGAACCAGCCATCCAGATTGTGAACAGTTTTCTCCAGGTAATGAGGAGGCAGCTAGATTTGAACCAAGGAGCGAAAGAAAAAGGGGAGGGGGTGACGTTTTCCGGGCCAACACATGGCTGTGAGCTTTTGGAACTTGTTGCTGGGGAATTTGGGAAGCTGATGGGAATAGAAGGGCAGCTTTTATGGAGCTGAGGGGAGGGTCAGCTATTCCAACTCTCAGGTATAGTTTGACACACACAGAGCTACACGCCTTCTGCAAGAACAGAATATTCTGTGATGCCTTAAGGTGTGTATGGGCTGGGTGTCCTTGAAGCAGGGGCTGACTGGAGCTTCCCTTTAGAACTGCCAGAGGATGTAGTGATGACCACCAGAATAGACAGTTTTAAAAGGGGATTAGATAGATTCACAGAGGATAGGTCTATCAGTTGCTACTAGCCATGGTGACTGAGGGGAACCTCCACATTCAGAGACAGCCAGCCTCTGAATCCCAGGGCCAGAAGGCAATATCAGGGGAAAATCTTGGCCTCTGTGCCCTGTTGTTAGCCCTCCAGAGGAACTGGTTGGCCACTGTGTGAGACAGGATGCTGGACTAGATGAACTTCTGGTCTGATCCAGCAGGGCTCTTTTTATGTTCTTAACTACTAGGTGGGTTTACAGGCAGTGTTCCCTCTAAGCTGTTAGTGTGAGCTAGCTCACAGTTTTTTAGCCTCCAGCTCACACATTTTTGTCTGAGCTCAGGAAGGATGGCTCCAGAGCAAACCAATTTATGTAGGAGCCAAATGGCTCGCTCACAAAGTGGAATTTTTGCCCACAAGACTCTGCAGCTTAGAAGGAACATTGGTTACAGGTGGGGCTAGATCAGTTCTATGGGAAAGACTGTAATCTGGGAAACAGTTGAGGGGAGAAACACCCAAAATTAGGAGCTGATGGTATTGAGTGACCACCAGAGATTATGGGATGTGTGCAGGTCTGAGGATTCCACAGGTCTGTGCGTACAGAGACACATGGCACTCTCAGGGACTCACCGTCTTCACACATATACCACCTGCTGTAATGACTGGCATTTTGCTAGTGTATGTCTTGACCATGTGCAAAATGCATTTCCATCACCACCAATGGAGAGCAAGATTTGAATCCAGGAGCTCCTCGAAGACTAGCAAGATTCCCCAGGGTATAAGCTTTCGAGAGTCAGAGCTGAGGGGAGATTTGACTCTTGAAAGTGTAGACCCTGGGATATCTTCCTGGTCTTCAAGGTGCTACTGGATGTGAACCTTTTCTACTGCAGACCCAACAAGGCTGCCCACCTGAAACCTTTGCTGCTAATGAGTCCCCACAACTAATACTCATTTATTTATTTAAGCATGTCTGTGACACTGCTCTCCTGAGGGACCCAAATGGCTTACAGAGGTTTCCAAACTAAACAGTGTAATGTAAATAATGCAACAATTAGCAAACAAACGCATCCTGGGGGGGGGCACAGCTACCCCAGGCTACCTTATCAGCGCCCCCCCCCCCACTGAGCTGCAAGCCACAGTCTGTCTGTTTCCTTACATATTCTGGAAACTCATTCCGTAAAACAGGAGCAGACATCAAGAAAGCCAAGGCAGAACCCGTTCTCTGAGAATGGAGAAATTACTAATAGTCCCTGATCTGAGGGTTGGAACTGCCTAGGGGGGCATACAGGGGTAGATACGGTGGTCCCTCAGATATGAGATTCATGAAGGGCTTTTAAACTCCTTAAACTGAGCATGGAAGAAAATCAGCAGCCAATATAATGATCTTAAATGTGGGGTGCTATATTCAAAATGCTTAACCCCACCCCCCAACAATGTAGCTGCTGACTTTTGCATCACTTGTAGCTTCAGTGTTTGTGTGGCCAAGTTTGGCTGAATCTGAAAAAGGGCAGTTTTTGCCACCCCCTTTGTCTGCTTTTCCAGCAGAAGGTTCCAATAGAACTCCCACATGCTTAACTGAGTCTGTTAGTAATTAAGCCATACCATCCAAGGCGGGCAGCACAATTCCCCCCGCCCTGTAGAATCTCAGCCTTCCCTACCAGCATCACCTCTGTCTGATCAGCATTCAGCTGTAGCATGTGCTTTCCCAGCCCCTTGATCACAGCAGAGAGGGCTGTTCCGGAGGCTATCAGAATGTTGCGGGGCAGGAGGCAGTGCTGGTAGGCCAGCTTGAGCTTTGGTAGAAATTCCTCACCGGAAAGAGGGATCCAGATAAAGTGAGAGGGGACAGGGGAGGTGCCTGCTTGCCCTTTAAGGAACACCGAAGCAAGGTAGTCTGAAGTTGCCCGTGTTTGCTTCCTCCCAAGGGGCAGCAGCCTCCAGTGGAGCCCATCATGTTGGCGCATGAGCCAGAAGAAGACAAGCGGAGAGGCCACGAGTGTGCAGTGTGCAACAGAATCATCATTGGGGACCAAGAATGGAAAGGTGAGGTTGCGGCTGAGGGAATGAAAAAGTCATTTTCAAACAGGCTGGTTAGAAGCTGGGGAGGGGGGTGAAGCCTACTGGGCCCGGGTCTCCCAAACAAAGCCCTCTGTCGGGCTGGTGCCGCATGGTCATTGTTTACAACTGGAATGTAGCAGCAGCCACTTGACAAACCGGGTGGGGCTGGGAGCAAGCCGAGCCGCAAGCAGCCATCTGCTGTTTCTTCATCCTTTCCTATCCTAACCACTCCCCCTTCCCACATGATGTAGCAGTGAAAGCTCTTCCCCCCCTAGCCAAAGGAACCAGGAGACATGTTCAGTTTCTGCAGACCCTGCTTGTTGTGTTACTCAGCATAGTCAGTCCACAAGAGTGTAATAGTTTGGGGAGCCTGTGGCGGGGGAGGAGGCAGCTACTGGCTGCTTAGAACAGCAGGCCATTGGACCAGGTGCCGACAGGTCAAGTCTGGCCTCTCTTGCCTGCTCCAGAGAAAACAATGAATCTAGTAAAAGGAGAGCATGATTCAGAAGATTGTTCTTAGTTTTCTCTTCAACCTGAGAGCCTTCTTGGTTTGAAAGTAACATTATAAAATGAGCTTCTGAATGGGAGTCAGGTCTGGTTTACTAATGCAGCATAAATGTGGTGTTCAAGTTTTGAAATGGTGGAACAGGGTGGATTGCTTCAAGCCGCAGGTCTTGGGATCCCAATCTGAGATCCTGCTTGGCTGTATTTTTGAATGACCACTGCCACCCTCTTTTTTTAAAAAAATCTCCTTGCTGGTTGAAAACTAGCACTCGGGAATTGGGCTGGGCTAGAACCCTTTTCCCTCATGTTGAGGGAGGGGAGAGGGACAAACGAACCCTTTCCCCTCACGTGCGAGATGTTCTCTTGTACAGCATTCTAACGTGGCCCCATCTGCTCCCATCTTGTTGGGACTCTCTTACATCACATTCCTGTTTGTGTAAAGGAGGTAGAAGGCTGAGGTGCCACTTCAGACTGCAGTGGGACAGTGCTTGAGTTTGGGGATCTACAAAACAAACTTCCTGCAAGTGAAACGTTGGTATAACAGTGAATAAATATATCGATATGCCATGAGGGAGGTGAAGTTTTGGAGGAAATTGAAATACATGCAATACCTGCTTTCTTATCAAACCTAAACTTATTGTACTGCTTTAAAATGCACGTGTAACTTTGTTAGCATATTAATAGTGTGCTATTCAGCATATTTAGGAAATTTAAAAGTGTGGATGCCTTAGTTTTGATCTGGCAAAATTGCAGATATGCCCAGTACGGGGGGGGGGGGGGGGGGTGCTGCAAGTTGCTGCACATATCTTAGTTTTTGCCATCTGGGAAGTAGGAAAAAATTATGAAAGTTATAGGTTCTAAGCAAAAGAAAATTTATTATTTGGCCTTGAAGCCATCTTCAACATTGCAAACATGTAAGGTGTTATCTCCGGACAGTATGTCATTATGGACATTATGGCCAGTATAAATAGACTTAATTAGTCACATTTAAACAACAGGCATATCTTTAAAAATATGTTGCATGAATCTATGCAAAAGTATCACTATATTCAAACGACACAATTCCTAGAAAGCATTTTGCATGAAAGGTCTTAAAGCATGTCATTTGTTCCAAAAGAAATAATGTTTGATATGAGGTGTGGGGGAGCAAATCTCCATTCTCCCAAGGAAGCTTGCTGGGTGACCTTGAGCCAGTCACACACGCTCAGTCTAGCTTACCTCACAGGGTTGTTGTGAGGATAAAATCATAGAATTGGAAGGACCTCCAGGGTCATCCAACCCTGTACAATGCAGGACATTCACAACTACCTCCAGGATCCCTGGCTAAACTGGCCTGGAGAAAATTGCTTCCTGACCCCAAAGTGGCGATCAACATTTCCCTGGATGTGTAATGTGGAGGAGAGGAGAACAATGTCTGCTGCTTTGGGTGGCCATTGGAGGAAGGCAGGGTATAAATTAAGTCATTAAATAAGTACATTTCAACATTTCCCTAAATTCCCAATTTTTGCATTGGGGCAGACAGATGTCCATCAGGTGTGGGCCTTCACATGTCTATAACCAGAGAAATTGTAGTCAAATCTGCCCCTTTAAAAGTTGGAATTCTACTGCTACCTGATGAGACCCAATGTGTGTGTGTTATGGAGTGCTTAAATCTGGGTTTGAGTCCTTGCTATGCCACAGAACCTCACTGGTTGACCTGGGCCAGTCATTCAATCTCACAGGCTAACCTACCTCACAAGGTTCTTGCGGGGGTACGTACCACCTCAGTCAGTCACAGTCTGTTAGCTACCCTGAATTTCTTGGAGGATAAAAAAATGAAATTAATACTTAGAAGGAGTGGTTTCATTCAGGTATCAGAGAGCCTCATATGGGATCCCCTCAGCTGACTGATGTGGTACACTCCATCCTCATTCCATTACATGTGTAGGCCAGGGGCACAATCTTGACTCTCCTTTGCTGGATAGTGCCCAGGACACCCATACAGTCAGAACTTCGAATAAACAGAATGATTTGCACAGGTTGAAGATCAGAGAGCAGTGATTTCATCGTTCTATCATTTTCCCCTTAAAGCTTCAACTTCTACTCAGGTGTATGCCATGTGTTTGTTAATTATTAGTCAGAAAACAATATTATTTATTCAGTTTTTTACGCATCAGTCTCCTGAATGGCTCTCTGTGTTATCTTTTTTGGCAGCTCACGTAAAATCTAAGTCCCATCTTTTCCACTTGAAGAAATCACTAAAATCACACTTGGATCACCATTCAGCAAAGTGCCAGAGTAGCATCACAGAAACTTCTCAAACGTGCGCAGAAGCATCATCAGGGAACTTGGAAGCCTGAAAAACGTAGCCCAGTCATCGGTGGGACCTCTGGGATTTTGGTGGCTATTCTTGAAGGCCAGATTTGGGCAGGATTCCGTCTTCACCATGCAAAAACAAATGGAGCCAGGGAGGAGAATCTCACCTTTCTGTTTTGTCTTCTGCCAGGGAATAATCAAGCTAACACTGGCTTGAATATGTTGGTGCTAGTTTACCTTTCTAAGTTTCATTTTAAAGATACAGTGGCTGCATTTTTGTATTGCAAAGCCATTAACAGTGCCTTTGGACTCTGAGACTGCTGTGTCTGCAAGGGCAAGGGAAGCCAAAACACCCCTCCTGGAACATACACACAGTGAAATGAACACCCACTCACCATGGTGACACAGAGCAATGAGCTCTTTCCATCGCCACTCCATATCTTCTGTTTTATAAGCCTCTGTTTCTCACAGGTGGGCAAGTGGTGGCCCAGGAGGCAAATCAAACCTACAGGAGCTTTTCTTCTGGCCCTCAAGCTGCCCAGTGGCTATTTAGGGCATCCACCTGCCAAAAAAACTGAAGCATTGGTTAGCAGGCCAAAAAATAGTTCAACAGCTCGAGAGCCACTGAGAGCAGCAGTGTGGGCCACATCTGTTTGTCTGCCCACTTTCAGAGGCTCTGAGGAAGATGCCAGCTCTGTGCTGGAAACAGAGCCAGCCTTCGGCAGAGCCCTCAGAAGTAGGGGGGGGAGACCAAAATGTAGTTCTCAGGCCCAAAAGGGTTCCCCACCCCTGCCATGATGTGTCATTTCTCTGCATCTCTTGGGTTGTTTCAAAATGCAATGTTAAGTGTTGTCATTTGTATTTCAAAGGGCTGTATCTTGGTTCAGAATGGGGGGAGGGTTTTTTTGGGGGGGCAAACGCGTGGGTACAGAAGACTTATTGGGAGACTTCCATTTGTTTGGTCACCACCACCACCCCACAAATTAATCACGGGTTTTAAGGGCTCTTTTTGACAAACTGACCATGTTACATGGTTGGAGTGTCATATAGCAGGGGTACCCCCCCCCCCCAAAAAAAAAAAACAGCTTTGGCACCTGGTTTCTGTCTACATGAAGTGAGTGTACCTCTTAGAGGTATCTGAGGGATCTTAGTCTACATTTACATCTGGATGGTTTTATTTATTTATTTATTCTGAGATTTTTATTCCACCCTCCCCAAAGCGGGCTCAGGGTGGATCACAGGAAACTCTTCGGACTCTTGGAATGTGGAAGCAGGCACTGTGATCTAGGTAGCTACGCTTCTTAAAAGTTAAGCACCACTCATGATCCCCCAATATTCCTGTAGGTCTTAAAAATTGGTATGATATTCCTTTATCCCCCCGCCCCAATGCAACACACATGCCTGTGTTTATTTTCATCAGTCAGTGTGACAGGCAAAACAGTTAGGAAGGCAGGAGGTTTGCTTGGAAAGGAAGCATTGCCCTGTATTGTTTTAAGTGGGGAGCCATCAGGGAAGTCTCTTCACCCAATGGAGGCACAGCATGGTACAGTGGTTGGAGTGTTGGATTGGAACCCAGGACAGATGGGTTCGAGTGTTTGCTCTGCCTCAGGAGCTTGCCAGGTGACTTTTGGCCCATCACAAAATCTTGGCCTAAAATACCTCAAAAGAACAAAGTTTGAGACCAGGGGCACCTTTAAGACCAACAAAGGCCCTAGTCACACGGGCTGGAAAACGTGGGGGGAGGCGTGGCTATTTGCGGTGCTGCAATTAGCCGCGCAACGCGTCAGCGGCAACCCACGGTTCCGGCCCTTGCCGTGCACGCTGCAACGAAGACGGCTGGAGGGAAAAGCTGCGCCGGCACAATCACACCAAGGGAGTCCGGAGGCAGCCCGTGGCAAACGGTTTGCTACTACCTTCGAGGAGGAATTTTTTTATTGCGCCTTTTCGGTGGCATGCCACGGGTTGGCCATGGGTGCGCTCGACTTGCCAGATGTGGTGTGATCACGCCCGGAAAATCCGCCATCCAATCATGGCTCTCCCGCAGCAAATTCACCATGTGAACAGGGCCAAAGTTGGTTTTTTGTTGATCTTAAAGGTGCCACTGGACCCAGGCATTTGTTTTGCTGCTCCAGACCAACATAGCTACCCACCTGAATCTACCTCACAAGGTAATTGTTGGGAGGATCACATGAAGGGGGAGAGAATAATGTGATAAGCCACTTTGTGTTACCCCCAATGGAGAACAGCAGGATATAAATAAAAACAAAATAAATGCTGGCTGTCCCCAGTGCTCCCCCACTTCCTTGTGGCTTTGAAGCGCAGTGTCATCTCTAAACTGGAACAGTTCCGCTTTCTCTTCAGGCACTCACACACACACCCCTCCAGCCCCTTCCTTTTCATTGCCACAGGTTGCTGTGTTGGCCCAGTTACTAGTTAAGGGGATTTCACTAGGATCAGTGTCAGCCTGGAAGGGTAAGACTGGACAGCTCAACATGGAATCTCCACATTCAGAAGCCGTCTACCTTTGCTAGCTGGACAGGGCAAATTAACCTTCATGCCCTACTCACCCGGCTTCATGTACTGCACAGGCAACCCCTTTTTTCAGAGCACTGGTGCGAAGGCAACCCTCTGGGGCTGGACTAACTACTTGTGAGCCTCTTGGGGGGGGGGCATTTGAGACGCAAGGGCTGGGCGAGGTGGATCTCTTTGGCCTGCCTGCCTGGCACAAAGCTGTTGGTGGGGTTCTGATCCCTGTTCCTCCCTGGAAAGGCACAGGGTGAACCAGGGGGGGCCTGCAGTCCCTCCCCCCTCCCTCAAAACATTAGTTGTGTATTCTCTCTTTTCATGCTGCTGTCAGGAGAGTATTGGCGGGGGGGGGGGGGGGGGGGGGGGGGGGGGGGGGGGGATCTGGCCGTGGCTAATCCACAGACAAATGCCAGCTTCCCATCTGTGCTCTCCAGTCTCGCACACACTCCTCTGCCACCAGCCACTTTTAGCTAACCGGCTTGGGCTAAAGAGAAGGTCATTAATTACACTGGGATTAGACAATAGTGCAGGCCCCTCCCTGCTTGCCTTGTAACTGTTTCCTCCACTGCCCCACCACCCTGGTCACCTTAGCTGCGGGCCTCTTTTAAAAAAAAGAAGAACTTAAAATGGAGAGGAGAGGAGCTTAATTAGAACCACAAGGCTCTGTCCCAGAATCTCATTTTGTACGACAGGTGATCCTATGTAATGAAAGAAGATGTCTCTGAGCATGTGTGGAGTGGCTTTTGCCTCACCACTGGCCATTCTCGGCAGGCCCATGTTTGATGTTAAAGAGAAGAGCTGCTAGGTTAGCAGATCCGAATTCAGGGAAGGCCTTGAGATGGGACATGGTTAAAGTGATGATGTTTTGTGGGGGATAGATGGGGGCTGGGGGGCTATTTGAAACTCCTCTCCAGGGTTCTGGGTTGTGTACAAATCTAAGCTGCAAGCCCCCACCCCAAGGAGTTTGCTGCCTTTAGTGGCTGCATCCCATTTCTAAAGGAGTGTCCCCCTACCTCAAAAGTGTCCAAACAGGGGTCTGGGTTAGGGCTGGCAGTGTGGTCTGGTCTTCAGGCCTGCCAAGAAAAATGTGGCCAAACTAATAGTGGGGGTGGGGGTTATATCAACTGAGACAAGAGTTTTGGTGCATCTCTGGTATCACCATCTGGTGGGGGGGGGTGACATCTGCTTCCACACCATGTAGCTTAGAGGCATTTGCAGGGGCAACCAAGTGCCCACATGGCAGTCCCCCCCCCCCACACACACACACCCCTTCAGCCCTCTTGAGTGTCATGCCCCTACACCATCACAAGGCTTTAAAAATAATTACGAATTCCTATTGAGCTATAGTGTAGTAACCTCATAATCTGTGCCCACGATCAACACACTCCTCTGAATTCTCATGCAATGTCGAGAGTTAAAGACTTTTAAAAATGGCAAAGGTAAAATACGGCAATAGGTTGTTAAGATTTTTGTACTGGATTGATGGAGCAATTGCCATTTTTAAAAAAGTTGTTTGGTGGGCGGACTCTGGATGCCAGCCTCCAGGTGTGACCTGGGGATCTCCTGGAAATACAGCTCATCTCCAGACTACAAAGATCAGTTCCCCTGGAGAAAATGGATGCTTTGGACAGTGGACTCTAGGTCATTATACCCGGCTGAAGTCCCTGTCCTCCCCAGGTTCCATCCTCAAATCTCCAGAAGTTTCCCAACCTGGATGTGACAACCCCGCCCCGACCCCCCCACTGGTGGTCAGGGGGGACCTGGCAACCCTACGGCAGGGGGGATGGTGTCAATATGTGTAGGACCTTCGAAAGTGCTTACTTCCCCCTCCACACATTTTGCAAGGTGCTTTGACTGCAACCTTTCCAAAAAGATTGCATTCAAGCAGGGGAAAAGTTGGATAACATGTGAATGCTAATTTTTTTCTCTCCAAATTTCCCATTGGATGCTGAACCAGAGCAAACTCCACCCCCACCCCCCATGATTCCATACCAAGTCTCCAAAGAAAAAATGCTGTATTGATGGAGAACGTAAAGGAACATTCATACATTCCAATTGAACTGTTTTCAAAAGGAGGCCAAGCTCTGTTTCCGATGGAGGAGGGATCAGTGGCCTGTTTGCCCACATGAGTGGGAGAAAGTAGCCCTGATTATAACAAAGGAGGAGCTATTTGCCTGCTCCCTCCCTGCAATGCTGCAGCCTAGAGAGCAGAAGAAACAAAGGCCCTAGACGGAGTGGGAGGAAGAAGAGCCAGGGGCTTTGAAGAAAGGAAAAGCTTGAGCCAACCCCAGTGAACAGATCCTTCCTGGAAGAAGTTCCGGTGGCTTTAATAATCAAAGGGAGAGGAAAATTTCTAAAGCTGCAGCTTTCCTTGCATGTTGCCAGAAGGATTCCTCCTTGATTCTGAGAATGTGTCCTGCAATACATTAAGAACATAAGACTTGCCTTATTGGATTAGACCCAGGTGCCTCTAGTCCCAGGATTCTGTTCCCGTCAAGGTATAGCCAGATGCTTCTAGGAAAGCCCACAAGTGTGGTTGTGCTGGCCCTTCCCTGTTGCTAGAGACAAACACCTGTTACTCAGAGATATATTGCCTCTTCTCATGGAGGTTCCATTGACTTGGAACAGGCCACTGATCATGTTGGAAGAGAGACCCCTCAGTTGTCCCATAAACTGAAAAAGGCCTTCAATGTGAAGACGGGGGGATGGAATGTTCTTGATCCACTCTCATTCATTCCAGTTTGGACAGAAGAGTTTCCCAGGGGACTGTGAGCTGGGGGAGGAAGGAGCCATCTGGTGGCAGGGGGAGAGAATGTTAGCACTCTTCGTGGAAGGGGGCAAGAGGGTTTGTCTGCCCAACATCTCTGGGAAGTGGGGACTTGCAAGCGAGCAGGTTGTTTGGAACAGGAACCCTGGGCCAAATGCACAGGAGTTGAGTGCCAAACAGTATTGAAGGCAGCTGCAGAGTCAGCCTGTAGCTAGGACCTTGGTGAAAGAGGAGTAGGGTAGATGTAGAGTTGCCAACTCCTGTGTCATAGAGTTCACCTTCCAAAGCAGCCATTTTCTCCCGTGGAACTGACTTATGTAGTCTGGCGATTGATTGTAACTCTGGGAAATCTCCAAGCACCATCTAGGGGTTGGCAACCCTAGGTGGAAGCCAGTCACAGCTTTCTACTGGCTGGAATCCATCTCCAATACAGCCAAGTGCAAAGGGGCTTTGTCTGTTGCAAGGGAGGTTTTGGTTGTCATTAAGGGG